TAAGATCGAAGGTAATTTAAAAATTATTACATTATACGTTATTATCATAATGGCTATTTTTTTTTTTTATCAAAATTTGTTTTTAATGTATTTTAGGTCTGGATAGAGGAGCAGATGATTATTTAATAAAACTATTTTCTTCTCGTGAACTAATTACCCGTATTCGTGCTAATATTGAACTTTCACTACTTCGACGTAAAATATCATTACAACAAAGTAAACAAGAAGAAACCAAGCAATTACTATTTACAATATCAGACAAGCTTCTTTTTGGATTAAATCTAAATGAAGCTTTATCAGATATTATTAAAGAAATTCATCGTAGGTTACCAAGTGAAAGAATATTTATTATTACAAATGATCAATCTGATTTTAAAAAGAATAAAATAATTGCTTTATATGAAGGCTCAGAAAGTACAGCACCGATGACTAATCTATTTACTGAAATTAATGATAAAGTAAATCACAAACATTAATCAATTCACAAGAATTTTTAAATAATCACACAGGAATAGATATCTGTTTAGACATATATTGTGATGATGTTTGTAAAAATGTATCGGTATTATCTGTAGAAATAAGGTCGTTGAAGAATGTTTGTTGGGGATGGATAAAATTATATAGATCTCCAAATTCTATTTGGCTCGATTCTGAAATTGAATTATTACAACAAGCAGCGGTCAAATAAGTTTAGGAATTATTTGCGCAAATATTTTAGAAAAGAATGTTGATAATGAAATTACAGTCGGACCTCCCTAAATGCAACCTCCCTAAATGCATATATATGAAAAACCTCCTTAAATGCATGTCTTTTCTTGGGCCCAACTAATATAACACTTATAGATTTTTACCTCTCTAAATGCATAACCTCTCTAAATGCATATTTTTAAAATTTTTTACTATGGTCCCGACGTCATGCATTTAGAGAGGGTTGACTGTAAATTAAAAGCTGTTGAACTGGCAAATAAGACCAAGAGCCAAATATTAGCAAATACTTCTCATGGTATACATCATCGTGTATTACAGTATTAGGTACTAAAATTTTCATTTTTCTGATTAATTTTTTCAATCTTCATTTACCATAGAATTAAGGACACCATTAGGTGCAATAGTGGGCATTCTTTCTTCTTTCGAGATTTCTACGTTAACCACTGATCAAATAGATATGATCAATATCATGACACGAGCTTCTGATATAGTTTTATCTATAATAAATGACATTCTTGATGCAACAAAATTAGAAGCAAGAAAATCACTCTAATAAATATGACATTTGATTTGTTAGAATTATTTGAAAGTACAATTGAGGAATTTGGAAAAAGAGCCGGAGCTAAAAGGGTTGAATTAATTGTAAATTGCGATGTAGATGTGTTGCCGAGATATGTTAAGAGTGATCCTGATAGGTGATTAAACTAACGAACCGTATATATAATATATAAATAAAATATGAATTTATTATTTATTCTATCTCTTATTATTATTAATAGGTTGAAACAAGTTTTATCTCATTTATTATCAAATGCGTAACTGTCTATTTATTTTTTCACGTATTTTTTATTTATTTATTTTTTTTTATAACATAAATACATACAACTTATTCATAATTTCTTAGAGTTAAATTTACCAATAAAGGTAAAATCGTACTAATAATTTCAATACAATCACAAGAAGTCATTAATAATGGCAAAGACGAAACAACGTGTGGCCAAATTGTTGAAAAAGGAATTTTGTCAATTACATTATATGATACTGGTATTGGTTAAGATATTATGACTAATGAATTTATATTATATATTTATATACCGGAATAAAATTCATATAATATATTATCTATTTAATTATAATGTAATAGTATGAATGCTGAATTATAAAATATGCTTGCAAAAGTTTTTCGCAAGGTGACATATCATAACTAAGAAGCTAGATGGTACAGGACTTGACCTTTCAATTTTAAAAATCTAGTAGAAAGAAATGGGGAGAAATTAATGTAAAAAGTGAGTTAGGAAAAGGAAGTAAATTTTGGTTTACATGGAATGTCGAGCTATTATCAATCGCTCTCCCATTATTAAATACACAATTTGATCAAATGAGTTATGCATTACCTCAAGCTATAAAACAAAAATGAATACTAATAATTCATCCAGTTGAGGATGCGAGAAATGCAATGCTGAAATATTTTAAAAGTATCAAAGTAGATGCATTTGATACCTTTGATAAAGGTATTAGAGCAGCAAAAGAATATAAAGAATTGAATAATCAATCTGGTTATGATATAGTATTTATTAGTCTTTATGAAAATAATGAAGAAGAGATCATAGAAGCAATATCAGAATTACGAAGACTAGAATTGAATAATAATAATTTAATAATAATCTTTATAGTATTTCCAAATAATGAAGAGAACGAATTGGCAAAAATATTAGTTGGCAAAGTTGGGGAACAACCACTATTCTTTATACCCCAATTATATGAACAAAGTTATTTAATCTATTTACATGCAGTTATTGTTAACAATAAATGTTTCTTCTATATCAATGAAACTATATCTAAGTAAGAAACTTGTAGGTTTTATAATACTGAGTATACAGATCAAGATATGCAGTAATAATTATAAATAATGCCCAAAATTTTGTAATATCACATAATTTTAGATTTATTTTTATTATAACATATTATATTTATTAAGCTATTTTATAATTTTAGAATTATAATTTGTGTAATGCAAATTATTTTTTTGGTAAAAAATCTTCATTAAATTTTTTATTAATTCTTTAATACAAAATTTGCACCAATTATTAATTATGTTATTTAGTACAAAGCTGTCTTTTAAAGTTTTAGAGAATTTTTAAACTATATTTTATAGAATAACGGATAAAATATAGTATAGGAGACATCTACAGTACTTTAAATCAATTGATTATTTATTAAGGTGTTACCTATACTATATTTAATTCAGAATAACTTTTGCAAAAATATTTTAAAGATTTTTAGAATTATTATTATTATTTTTTAAGATAACTAATAAAATATATTTTCTATAAAGTTTTATCTTAACTCTAACTCTAATTCGAATTTAATTCTTATTTATATTAATTTTACAATAGAAAGCACTATATACACTACTCACCAAATTAATTTATTTTAAAAATTATATAATCAAAAAATTCAAAACAAAACAAAGAATGTGGCACCTTAGTGAAGTAGTCAAGTTGTTATATTCTAAGTATTAAAGACAAGTTCAATTCTCATAAAAGATGAAAATTAAATTTAGAAAAATGAGATCAGCAACTATTGTCATAGCTAGAAAAACTTGAGACTCTGTAACTATAGCTATATTAAATAACAGTAGAGGGCTCTTCAGAGTTATAAGCCAGAACTAAAAAGATTTCAAGATATTTGTATAATATAGAAATTATACAAAGATATGCAAGCCAGTATTAGTCAGTACAAACTTATGATAAGTCTTTAGGATTATAAAAAGTATAAAGCTAATATTGCAGTAAAATGCTTGCTTGGCAAGTCTCAGATAGAAAAATTTAATAGTACTATTAAAATAGGCTATACTCAAGATAATTATAACTAAATAAGAACTTAATAGTTAGCAAGAATACTCTACTAACTAGGCTACTAAAGCATTAACCAAAAAAAAGAATTCACTAAGTAGATACCAAAGAACTAGTATTTTTTCTAGATTATCTGAATTGAAAATTTAGAAAAACTAACTAGTGTAATACTAAAAGTAGAAAGTACTAAGTAGATTTGAATAAAAGTACTGAGATTTAAGTAAACTTTACAAGAGCAGAAGTAGATAATAGTAGCAGAGATCAAAAGACTGACTATAAGTACTTGTTTTTAGACTTAATATAGTTACTAAAGCTTAGATTAACTAGATTGTAGATTTAAAAAATTTTAGCAGATTTATTTTGAGAATAAATATATTCTAAATTAGATATTTAAAAACAAGAAGTATATAGTTAGTTAATAGAATAATATATATAGATACAAAGAGTTTAAATAAAATTGCTCTAGTTAGGTTATAGATATAGTATCTAGTATAGAATTTAGTAATAAACAAACTACTTTAATATAGTAGGTTAGTAGTGCCATAAAAAATTGGCAGTCACGTGATAATGTTTGATTCAAAAATTTATCTCTACATATAAGTTAGTAGCTATATTATGGTTAGAAATTAGGTGCATAGTAGTAAAATCGTTCAAGAAAAACTTTTTGTTAATGTTCGAAAGGTGGTTTCTTATACGAGTTTTTGAGAAATAGGTGATTGTTGATAAAACAGACGTTTGTTTTGAATTTTCTGATTGTGTTATGTTACACTTAATCTTCAAAATCTGATTTGTTAACGCCACAAAATTATCATGTGACTGCTGATTTTTTATGGCACCACTAACCTATCTACTTTAATAAGCTAGTTATACTTTTCAAATATATATATAGTATAAAATATATGTTATAAAATCAAAACTATAATTGAATAAAAAAAGATTACTAAGAGGTTACTTTAATACTAAAAAAATTTAAAACAAATATAGTACTAGAAGTCTATACTCAACAGTTACACAAAGTATTTTAATTTTTTTTTTATTTAAAGTAGCAATCTTGCCTGTATATCTTTATTATTAGTAACATATAATTACATTATACTGTATTTTTACGAAATAATAGGCATAGGCATTATTTCAAAAATTGTAATCTTTAAAAATAATATATGGCTTCAAAATAATGCTCATACGCGTCCCGAAATAATGTGCACCCCATAGTAAGAGGCATTTATATACAGTAATAGAGTTAATACCTCATTATGTTTTATATTTGAATATATTCAGATAAAATAAATCCAGATTTAAATTACTATATTTTACTCTATAACAAAATATCAATCTGGATATAAATATATCAGATTAAAGTATTAATCCTATATAGCAATATTAAAAAATGCTTCATAATTAGGTTTGATACTAAGTAAACTACTTTCAGACTTTAACAAAAGCTGTTTGTCAGATCAAAACTATTTTAACAATGGCAAAATAATCAAAACAGTCTAGTAGATCACCTGAAATAGCTCTCCAAAGTTTTAGAACATTATAAAGATAATCATTCTAAAAATTTGAAAAACCGTTGTGGGTGATCAACTAGACTGTTTTTGATGATTTTACCACGTCTTGATCTGAAGAACAGCTTTTGTTAAAGCCCAATAGTAGCTCTACCTAGTGCCAAACCTAGTTTCGAAGCATGTTTCATTGTTTTATATAAGATAATTAAAAATTTTATATTTGTCTCAAAATAATGCCCATGCGCGTACTCTAAATAATGTGCATATACTCAAAATAACACGCAGGTAGGCATTATTTGTGAAAATACAGTATATATACAGTAGTTTATCAACAAAAATACAACTAGCTATATGTATAACTTTAGTCATTATCTAATTAAGGGTTTTGCCCATAGGTTATCCACTAGATGCTATACCTAAAATCTACCACTGGGTCCTCTATTTAAACTTTCTGATTTTTAATACTATTTGCATATATATACAATATTTACATTACTGTTAAGTGACATATCAGGTTAAGGGCTGTCGATTACTATTTAGATCAAAATACTATCTTATTGGATGTTACTATATATCCATAGATCTACATATCACTCTCAATACAAACTACTAAGTATAGTACCAAGATCACCATCTAGATTTATCTAATTTCAATATATCTAATATTTAATAAAACTGGTATTGGTGCCAGATGTGTTTGAATTTCAGTAAGTCTATTCCTTTCTCATAGCTTCTTTTTATATTTACTGTATCACCTACTAGTATGTTTTCTCTCCATTTCTGGTATGTTAACTACTTCTTTCACATCGAGCGCCAACTCTCTATATTGGGAGGCTTCTTTCTGAGACTTCATTATATACTGATCTTCTATTCACATGGGCTTCACCACAGGGCTTTGCATATACTCATATGCTTCTGTAGATTACAGAGTTTTATCTCTAGCTAGAATTGAACCATTGACCTTGTCTGTAGAGGGAGAATGCCTAGACCATTAGGCTACAAGCCCTATCTCTTAAAAGTGTTTCAATTTTTTAAATAGTTATAACTTTTATCTAGAAGGTTTAGAAAAAATCTAACCAGTAATTTTATAGAGCTATATCAGCTCTACATATCTGCCAAATTTTATTTCGAAATCTCATCACTGTAAAGAGTGATACATTTTGAAAATTAAAATTTTATATGTAAATTTATAAATTTATATATAAAATTTAAATTTTCAAAATGCATCAACTTTTTACAGTAATGAGATTTTGAAATAAAATTTGGCAAATATGTAGAGCTGATATAGCTTTATAAAGTTACTGGTCAAATTTTTTCTAAACCTTTTAGATAAAAAGTTATAGCTATTTAAAAAATTAAAACACTTTGTGTAACTATTGAGTATAGACTTCTAGCATCATATTTATTTTATTAAAAATCATTTATAACTTAAAATTGAATATATGAAACTACTCTTTAGATTCTAACAAAAAAGTTTCTTGTAAAATTTTACTATAAATCTTTCTTTTAATTGTATATACAATTTTTATCTATATAGATATGGTAACCTAGTGAAGTAGTGAGTTATTATATCTCTAAGCAATATATATAGGGTTTGAATTCTATTAGATAATAAAATTTGAATATTTTGTTATGTATATTATTATTACCTAATTAACAAATTGGTATTTGCTAACCAGAATACTAATCTACATGATTATAGTAATTATATAAAACTCAAATGATATATATAAAGAAAACTAAACTAATTATACTTTGGCCTGTATAAAGATATAAAAATTATATGTATATGATTTTGTCATTAGACTACATATTTTAAATTCTCTTTATTACTAAGCTTTAAATTATATTCAATTCCAAAGTATTACAAATTATTGACTCTATATATTCTTGCTATATCATTTTATCTAATAGATGTGTAAGTTCTTAAAAACTATCTGAGTCTTTAATATATAGGGCCATATTTCTAAATAAGAAATAAATTACTTTCTATGTAGCCACATGTTTATTATATTTATATCACAGAGTTACCAAATATAGAAGTAGTAAACAATATTGATCTTTTGACAAAGGATAGCCAAATCTCTCACTTTTTGTCAAAATTAGTTTTGAAAGTATCAAAGTAGTGAGAAGAATTATGGACTTATGAGTTTTCAACTAAAGATAGTTTTTTAAGAGTTTATCATATTCTTTTGTCTTCAAACTTTTAGAGTTTTTTTTCTACCTGCTATTCCCAGAGATTTTTCTAGTTAAGATATCAAATGCAAAAAAGAGTTT